CGGGCCGGGCCGCCGCGTCCTTGCCCGCGCCCAGCGGCGCCCCCGGCCTAGCGCCGCCCGCTCCGTCCCGCCGCGCGAGGGGTGGCTGTTACTTTGAGAATTAAAGGTCGTAAAACGGCAAAAGCCCTTCCCGCTACAGGTCGGCGTCAGGACACCGCAACTGCGTGCTCCATCCCATCCCCCTGGCCCGAGGTGCAAGATCACGCCGAAGAATGCCCTTTGAAAGAATCTGGATCGTTCGCTTCACTTTTCAGACAGGATTACGTACTTGTGCAACCCAGAAAAGCCCTTGCCCTTCTTACAGGCGGGGGGGGTGTGGGGGGGTTGTCTTTAACTGCAGAAATGCTGACATGCTACAGTCATAGTGGCAGATTTTTTAAAAATCCTAGCCTCTCGGTTCAAGTTGCTTCCTCCTTTGAAAGCTTTGCTGTTTCCCAGCATTCCAGTTTTATTTTGTTCTTAAGCAAGGCTATAGAATTTACAGAGAGAGAATACTGGGAAGTCAGATACCAGGTAAATAAGCTCTAAACCAGAAACAAAACCACATCACCACCACCCACGCTCATGTTAAAGTGTATTCAGTCTGTTATCACCATACAAGCAGGCCTGTATGCTGTATGCAGCCCAGGGTTGCAGGTAGAACTTTAGCCATTAATTTAGCCCACGCTTTTGTTAACTTACTATACCTATGAGCATTTAAAAACTGCAACTGATATTCTAAGAAATGGAAACATGGGTGATATAAAATAATTTATTCACATAATTTACATACAGAATATGACTATTTTTCTTTGAAACAGCTTATATGTGATGATACAGGGTGTCAGAGAACGCTAAGCAAAGCAGTCTTATGCAACATCTATGTAAAGTAACAGGCATTGAGATTTCACCAATCTTTTCTTACATCCTTCACCATTATAAAACTTCCATAAAACACCACAAAGTTGTCTTATCTCTATTCAAATTAAATTTGTTCTCTAAAAAAAAAAAATCCTCTAACAAAGTGCATGTGATTTACTGCAGGGAACAAAATGTGTAGCCCCAATTAATAAGGTAGATAAGGCACCTTAAATCTTAGTAATGAAATAGTTGGGGGGTTTTTTCCATGTAATATGAATGAAGCTAAAATGTACACAACTAAATGTAGAATGGTTGTCAGCTCAGAAAGTACTGAGGGCAATTATTTTATAGCCACTCCCCACAAATCTATTTTTAGGCTCTGTCAGTGCAAGTGATTTAAACATGCCACATGTATTGGGATCAAAACACTTGCATACATAAAATAAAATCTACAAGATATATAATACATAGCATTTCATGTATAGATTAATCTATTTCATAATGTTTACAGTAAGACAATATTTAGATAAACATTTCAAGTTAAATGGATTAGGCAAAGCACAAGATACTGTATGAACAGAAACTTGGTGGTGGTGTTTCTTGGGGTTTTGGCGGGGGGGGGCATGAAGGTGACAATGCTTTCAAGTAAGTTACTTTACACTGGGACTGTTAGACCCTTTTCCATCACCCCAAGAAGATACTGCTGCTAACAACATTTGATTGACAGAGGCCTGCTAACGTAGCCGTTTGCAGTAACAGTAGCTTTTCTGTGTATCTTTCCTTATTGACAAAATTTTAAAGGCTCCTTCAGAAGCCTTGCCAATAACTTCTGAAAAGGCAAACATTCTCAAACTTCATCAAGTATTTAAAAGTTAACTACTTATATGAAAATATTTACCAATAAATGATTATCCAGCCCAAAGCTGAAGATAGGTTTCTTGAGAGCATAACAATACCATTTAAACATCAGTTTCACGTTCATAATAAATCATTTGTTTTGCAAAAGTACCTGCTGGTATTAAGTAACAGGAGAAAAATTTAGACTACTTAAATCTACACACTCATTTTTGTGTAAGAAGGAGTTACACAATAAATATTGAATCTTTCAGTGACCACCTGACTTTGAGACTGCATGAACCTAATTACATCATAAAGACAATCTTCTTGATGAGGCAAGTAAAAAATGAGAATAAAATCTAAAGCTACAACAGCACTTTATAGCAAGTTACAGAACAAGTAGCCATGCAACATGAGGAAAACCATTCAAATTCAACTGCTTCAAAGTAGCAAAGGCTCAAAGCAACCACATGGTGTAGTCATGGTTTAACTCCAATCTTTGTGCTACTTTGCACAAGGGAAACCAAGGAAGTTAGCAGAGCTACAAACACCTACACTTAAAACCAAGGAAAAGAAATGGTATCTATCCCCTTGCCTTCAAATTTAGAAGGAAATTAGCATTTATACGAGGAAATATTAGCCTTTTCCTCCCACTCCAACAGGAGGGTTGCAAAGGTTAACATTGTCTAGTTGTGTAGCATCTTTTAGTAAATTGTGTTTTTCCAGTTGTTCTCAATACATTTTTAGGGAACTAAACCCATTTGGCTTTTCAGGTTAGGATCTTTTAATTTATGTAATTAAAAACTCTTACAAAAATACATAATTTGGAGATGCTAATAAAAATACCTGCAGTGCTAAACATATCTATATATTTACTACACTACTTCCAGTATTTGCATCCTTATCTACAGAGATTACACTATACATAAAAGGTTCATTCTTCCTTCTAACATATTAACATAACATACTTCACAAAAAGAAGTAAAGAACTCGTATAGCCAGTACCACAAGCATTAAAATTCAAAGGGACACTTGTCACAAGATTAAGCATTTTTTCATTGCACTTTTCTGGAAGATAGTCATGCACCCATTATCAGCGTCTAAACAAGTGAAACTATAAGCCAGCAGCCACGGGTCTGGTCCAATGACATCAATGTAGTGGTTTAGACTGTGTCAACATTTTAAAAGTATCCCGGTCACTTCAGAAGGAATCAGTTTCACCTTTATGGAATTTACTAACAACAGCTTAGCTGACAGTGTGTGGCATAAAGAGTATCAGAACAAATCAGAACTTCTTAAAAATACTCTTTTCTTATTGCATTATACTCTCAGATCCCAGGTTTTTATAAAGCCAATTTGCTATTCTGAATCATCCACTTCCATAAAGATGTCACTAAAAAAATACTCAGATATTCTGGTTGGCTCTTCTTCTTTCTCTTGATCTTTAGCACAAAGGGGTGGCTTCTCAGATGGCTTGTTACTTGGAACCTAATAGAAAAAGAAAAGGCTGCTCTTAACAGTCTTAATCTGTTTGTGAGTGTAAGAGTGTGTGTGTATATGTATGTGTGTGTATATATATATATACATATATATATATGCACTTGAGCTTCCAATTTAGATAGGAATTTAAGCCAAAAAATTCAGAGTTTACTGAAAATGCAAAACAAGTAGATGTATATGCAGAAAAGAAACAACTTAGTTCCCTTTTAAGTTTCCTAGACATGCACAAGTCAGGATTTATTCACTGGAGCAGATAACTCTCTCAAAACATGAACACTACATGCCTACCTACCCACTCCTGAGACAACTAATTCACTGTTCTTCACATCCCAAAAATGGAAGGGCATTCAAAAGTAAACACATACCACATACCGTAACTGCAGCATCAGCAGCTATATTCTTATCCTCCACAGATGATGATGCGCTTGTAGAGGGAAGGAAACAAGATTCCCTGTCATCCTTAGAGAATAGAGTGGGTTTTTTTAGACTTAGCCTTGGAGTCACAATCCGAGGTTTATGGATCTTCCCTCTATTACCTTTGGCATCTTCTGCAGATTCAGAACTACTTTTTTTGCAAATCAAAGATAAAAATCCCAACGGTTTTCGTCCACCCCTGTTGAAAAAAAATACACTCAGGGTGTCATAGGATTGCTCCGTAAAAGAAAGATGTAAGTAATACTACAGGAGTCCAATTCATTACACAGGAAACAAACACACACCTCTGAGATCTATGAAAATGCTAAGAAAAACCAAAAAGTCATTCTGAGAAAGGCTTTTGTATTACTGAATATTCTGGTACAAGACTTTCTCAAAGAGTTACAGAGACTTGACAATCTGCAACCCTGAGAACAGAAACCTACTATTTGCTACCAAACCAGAGCCTGTAACAAGCTACCAGATCTTCAGAAAGAGATTCCAAGAGGAATGGGGACATACCCCTAAAGGAACAAACTAAAAAAAAAGCATCCTTCATGTAATCAACAGAAAAAGAAACTTGATTCCCAAGGATGGGGCCACAGCAGACTGTCTTAAACACCAGAAAGAAGACTATCTGCTGCAGGGTTTCAGCCTATTAACAGCATCATACCTAGCAACAGTGAACTTCAGGAAGTCACAGTAATGACAGAAGTACACAGAGTACCAACTTCTTGTGTTGTTAAGAGTTTACAACTTAGAAAGTAAACTTTAAGGCAAGTATTCTGATGTTAATGCGTCATCAACCCAATTCCTGTGGATGTCCCAGATACAAATAACCAGTTTTGGTACTCACACAAGCATAATGAAAGAGTAAATGACATGTTATGGGTTTGTGTGGCATGGGTTTTTTGGTAGCGGGGGAGGGGCTGCAGGGGTGGCTCCTGTGAGAAGCTGCCAGAAGCTTCCCCAGCTCCAAGTCTGATCAGCCTCTGGCCCAGGGCAACCCAATCAGTGATGGTGGTAGCGCCTCTGGGAGAAGAGATTTGAGAAGGGGAATCTGCAGTGAGTAGCGGGATTGGAACATGAGAGAAACCCCTATGAAAATACCGAGGTCAGTGCAGAAGGCGGGGGAGGAGATGTGCTGGAGGAGGGGATGCCCCTGCAGCCCGTGGTGAGATGGCAGGCTGTGCCCCCCCCCCAGCCCATGGAGGGGAGCAGGAGAGCAGATGCCCCTGAAGATGGCCGTGACTCCATGGGAAAACCCGTGCTGGAGCAGCCTGTGACTGAAGATCAGCCCATGGAAAGGACCCACACCAGGGAAGTTCAGGAAGAACTGAAGCCCGTGGGAAGGACCCACGCCAGGGAAGTTTGTGAGGAACTGCAGCCCGCGGAGAGGACTCACGTTAGAGAAGCTCATGAAGGGCTGTCTCCCATGGGAGGGACCCCACGGCGGAGCAGGGGACGGGTGAGGAGTCCTCCCCCCAAGGAGGAAGGAGCGGCAGAGACAAGGTGTGGGGAGCTGACCCCAACCCCATCCCCTGTTCCCCTGCGCCGCCGGGGGAAGGAGGGAGAGAGAACCGGGAGTGGGGTTGAGCCGGGAAGGAGGGAGGGGTGGGTGGAAGGTGTTCTCAGGTTTGGTTTTACTTCCTAATATCCTTGGTTTGATTTGATTGGTAGTAAATTAAACTGATGTCGTTTCTTCCCCAAGTTGAGCCTGTCTTTTGCCCATGACCATAAGTGGTGACTGATCCCGCCCAGTCCTTATCTTGACCCACGAGCCTGCCTTTATATTTTCTCCTCATCCCACCAGGGCCCAGGGGGGAGGAGTGAGCGAGCAGCTGTGTGGTGCTGGCTGGGCTGAAACCACAACAGACAGGATCAGAAGAGACCAGTGAAGCACCACAACCAAAACTAGTGAGCACAAGAGCAATAGACAGCAGGAACTCAAACACTTAAATAAACATTATAGAAAGGTACATTAAAAAATCCACAGTCAGATGGATAGATAAGAGGAATATCCTCTGAGCTGTCAAGATTGAAACTCCTTTGGGGAAATGACACATCTTAAGTAGTCCTAAAAATCCAGTGCGCTGAGTACTATACCAGTAATGAATCTTATTGGCAGAAGGACAAGAATCAAAACTAGTGGGTTGGTGCCTATGTCACAACATTAGACTGAGCTAAGGAAAACAACAATTATCCTAAACCTGTATCATAGCCAATGGATGTCTGTCTCACAAGAGGCATCTGTCAGTGTTTAAATAGACATACCATACATCAGTAGTGTCCCTTGGCCAATTTGCTCATTTAATGAATACAATAATTCATATTTCAAAGCAGACAGTTTGATCCTTTCTAATTTGCTGAAGGGGATAGATACTGTAACTCTTAGCCATGTAGGTCACAAACAATGGTACTGCCCTTCTTGTCATACTAAGTGGAAAAAGGTATAAAAACCTCAGTGTCCTCGTTTTAGCTGGGATAGTTAATTTTCTTCTCAGCAGCTGGTACAGTGTGTTTTGGATTTAGTGTGAGGATAATGTTGATAACACACTGATGTTTTAGTTGTTGCTAAGTTGCACTGATCCTAAGTTAAGGTTTTTTCAGTTTCCCATGTTCTGCTGGCAAGCAGGTGGGCAAGAAGCTGGGAGGGAGCATAACCAGGATGGCTGACCCAAACTAGCCAAAGGGATATTCCATACCATAGAATGCCATGCTCAGTTGCGAGGGGAGCTGGCTGGGAGGGGCAGATTGCTGCTTGGGCATCGGTCAGCAGGTGGTGAGCAATTGCATTGTGCATCACTTGTATTTTATTTCTCTCTTTTTTTTGTTATATTCCTTTTCATTACTCTTATTATTATTATTGTTATTAATACTATAATATTTTATTTTACTTTAGTTAAACTGTTCTTATCTCAACCCACGAGTTTTACTTTTTTTTTTTTTTTTTTTTTTATTCTCCTCCCCATCTCACTGGGAATGGGGAGAGTGAATGAGTGGCTGCATGGTGTTTAGTTGCTGGCTTGGGTTAAACCACAAAAGGAAACAAGGTCTTTTTTACAGAAGAGGCTGACACAACATTATTGAATAAATACCTGAGTAATGGAGTTTTTGAAGATGATGATGCTAGGCTTCCAGTATGTTCCAACTGTCCAGATTCACTGACATCCCCCTGCTTTCCTTGTCCACTTATTTCTGCTTTTCTGCTAGAGGTTAATCTAGACATCACCTCCTCTTCCTGTTTGGATGCTGAATTCTCCAGTGGTGCTTTCCCTAAGTTCTCCAAAGTCTGAAGTTGGCTTCTCTCAGCCAGTGGTGACATAGATTCAGGCACCAACACAGAGTTAACTTCTTTTTCCTTTTCTGAAGCCTGTGTTTTTTGAAAAGGATTCCCTGTAAAAGGAGTTGAAAGACATTCAAGGACTTCAGTTACTTAACTTCAGTGATAACACAACAGCCCCAAAGATGTGTGTGATGTCAAATTGGCTTGCACCATTAGAAGAGAAGGGCTGAATTTTTGTTCAGCTTTTTTGACATTTGTTTTTGAAGTCACCACTAAGAATTAAAAGTTAATGGTCTACAAGTCACAGACTAGAAGTGTGGTTTTACAGCAACACCCCCCTCTCCTTTACAGCACTCCATAGGACTCAGTTAAGTCTTCTAGCTGTTTAAGCTTCTACAATTTCCCTTTGAAGCCTTTTTCAGGGGCAAAAAGTAGTTCTCCAAACCCTTCACAGATCACTGAGGACTGCGTTGTCAGCAATTCTGCTTTCTTTCTGATTCTTCAGAGGCAGATTTCAAACAATTCAAAGTTTTCAATTACATTGTGCACATATTTTTTAAAGAGACAAATACAAAGTAAAACAAAATAAATTATTTTGGCATAGTATGGTTAAAGTACCAGTTAATACCTTTGGTTATTAGCATCTCCAACAGATGGACATACTTGCTTAAGAGAAGGTATCACGTTTAGTCAAAAAGCTTCCCAATTTCACAAATAGACCAGCTACAGCAACATTTCTAGAATCATTATTAAATTAATAGCCATTTATGTAATCCAACACATCTAGTTTATAGCAGAAAACATGGAATGGTGGTATTAGGGTATTACTGGGAAAATTTGTTTCTTCTTTTATGTTAGATAGCCTCAGACAGGACTGTTTAGCACAATGACAACCAGTATTCAACTATGATGTCTTAAGCATTTACATTCATTATACTTTGTTTTAGGAGTTTAAGTTTACCTACCAGAAGCTATCATTGGAGCATTTATGGATTTAATTGAATAACCCTGTATTCAAAAAAGAAAAAAAGAAGTTATTTCTCTATTTCTCTCAATATAGAAAAGACAATGAAAGTTGGTAAAGTCATATCACACGTATACAGTTCTAAGAACAGGAGTGATACAGAAGACTACAACTTCAGTACAGTATCATTCATCACTTAACTCATTTCCTGAGCAGGCTTTTCAAGGAGTTCTTATGACAAATGACTCAAGACAAGGATGTCAAGATGAGAGATCAAAGAAGGAAGAGGATTGTTATCCAGTCCTTCCTAGAAAAGCTCTCTGAATCAGGTGGGGAATTATCACCCATTCCCTCACACAGATACACTACACAGTCTTAGCCTACTTACAAAAAATCAATGGTAGTCACTGCAACAAGCTTGGTCATATTCTAAAAGCACAGAGGGAAACTGGAAATATGCTGCCCAGTTTTTATTTGCAGCTTGTTCTTTTAAACTAATACCCACTATGTTAAAAAATGGTAGGTACATATCTAACAACTTCATGTAACAGACACCATGAGGAATCGTAACATTGTTCAGTGAACCTAGACAGTCTGCCAGTCATCCAATATACATCCAGACTTTCCCCTCCTGCAATGTCATTGTCAGAAAGGCTGTGGAGTGAATGAACCAGGTAAGACATATACCAGTCTGCCTACTAGGAAGCCTAATAAAAAAAACCTGAGTCTACAGATACTCCAAAGAATTAGAACTAAATCAACAGCCCCCAAACTGTTGTAGAGTTCAAAATAAAAAACAATCTGTGGGTGTTGATTTTCCCTTTAAGTTGTACAGGCAGTACATTTTTAAGCAAGTGATACCATTAAACAATAAACATAATTAAAATGCTCTATTACGTGTTATGCATCTATACTATTCATAAATACTCACTTACCAAATTATCTTCTCACCTTGTAAGTGGTTTCCAAGTTACCTTCCACGGCGATAGTAGACAGAGTTTTCTTGGCAGGAGGCAAATCATTCACTTCAAGTTCAGCAGCTGACCTTTTTTGAGTTGTCTGCGAATTTGGAACAGGGTCTACTGATGCACTCTCTAGTTGTTTTGTTTTTATACTGCTCTTCAAAGGTGCAGCAAATTCATCAGCTGCAGTTGTCAAAGATCCAGTGCTGTTTATATATAAAGTCATTATTGTGACTGTACAAGAAGCCAAAATTTACTTTGTATAACATTTCTGTATGGAAATTACACATGACTCCATGGTGATACTCTTTCTTGCTTAATGTCAATATTAGCTTCAAATGTACTATTTACTACCCAGAAACATTTTGCTGCGCTATCTTGAATCACAGAATTGAGTTTTTCTGTCATAATTGAATCTAGTTACTTTAGAAGCTGTTCTATTTGAACTCCACTTGATATTTTCATACAATGTAAAAATATGACAACGGATTAACTGCCCTAGAAAATCCTAAAATCCGTTATTATTTATAGGCACAGTTGAATCTTCATCCCCATGCCCCCAAACCCTTCCACTCCCCCCTCCCCCCAGTATGATCTCAAAAGACAGTAAGACATCTAGGGAAGCATCAGAGACTACGGAAATAGGGTAAAGCAGTAAGGGAACAGTGAGACAGAAGATGCACCCTAATTCTGCCTATCAGCAATTCTGTCCATCATTAGTTCCACAGGAGTTAGAATTCTTACATTGTGTAGCCAAAATTCATTGTGTAGCCAAAATTCACTCAAAGACCTATCCTTTGAATAACTAAGGGAATGCCATGAACATCTGATGTCATAGGGCAAGGTCCTCCACAATGATGTGGAATTGCATCACACTGCTAGTTATGATCTGAAGACTTACATTAATATAGTAATAGTATTTTTTACAACTTTGCAACACTTCCTATTCTTCAAAATGTCTTTTTACTTTGATGTTGGGTTTTTTTCCTCCCAAACTGACCAAGAGATTTAGTTCTACTGTAATGTTGAAATAACAATTTTGTTACATTGCATTGAAGAATACTCCTAAAAGAAACTCAAACCCTTTGTATCACAGTACTGCAAACCAGCTATTATTCTGTTGAGTAATTAATTTGTTTCAGTTTTCAGCTCTTCTGCCTTTTGAACATGGCACAAACTCAAGAGAATGGTATCTGAATTTATGTGCAATGATTATCATGTTCTCCAGAAGACCACTGACGCTAAAAATTTGAAGAGCAATTAATTTGCAGAGCTACTTTACAAAACTGTTAAACTAATGTAAAAATGCAAACATGCTTAGATTTTTCATTTCAATTACTTTTCATAATGTTAAAATGCAAACATGCTTAGATTTTTCATTTCAATTACTTTTCATTCTAAGTATCTACGGCAGAATAGACTAAGGCTGGACAAGTGGCCTCTACTAAAAAAGACTTGCTCTAGAGGATAAATCACAATTAAGGTTGACACCAAAATCCCAGCTAACTAGAACACTAACTGTAAACCACTGATGAGATCTTTCTCAAATCTGATTAGAGCCCTTTTCACTTTCTTAATTCTCTGACCAATCTGCCAAAATTATTTCCTCGTGCATTTCTTCTTTTGAGAAGTTCTAATCTATAATGCACATCCTGGGAACAATCAAGGTTCACAAAAACTGTTTCACTTTTCTCAAAAATAAAACATTTACCTTTCCACTGCAGTCATGCTTGTTTCACAGGTACTTATTGGGCTGATAAATATTGGGGCTGGTAATAATGGTTCTGGAGTTTGTTCCAGCAAATCAGATGCATCAAACTCTTTTGAGTCAGCTGGGATTTCCACCAACGTTAAAATGAATGTCTGTTCCTCCTCTGGACTTTTATGATCATTGTTCACTACTATAATTTTTTCAGAGAAATAAAAGAAATAACAAAAATCTGTTATTCAAGTTTGAAATTACACTGTTCTCTTCACGCCCTCCCTACCTTGAGTAATTAAATTTTAGGCACTCTTTTTTCCATTCTTGAGACGACAATATGCCTCCTTTCTTCTTAGATGAGATACGCATTGTCACCCCCTGGAGCCTATTCATTGCAGTGGAGTCCTGATTACCATTCAGAATGAAGAATATTAAAATGCCTAGTAGGGATGGAGCTTTTTAAATGGATATTCTAGCATTAAAGAACAATTTGCAGTTTAATTAAACTTGGTTAATGGTGGTCAAATGGCCTTCTGTCTTTAATTACAACTGTCAGGTATTAAAAGTAACTTCTTTAAATGGCATGAGTCTGCCATTTAGATGGCAAACACAAGGATTTTTCCCCTCACTGCAGACTTGCAGAAGAGGAGCCGAGTATAGTCTTGAACTTAATAAATTAAAAATGTAAATAATTTTGTCAACAGATGGACACAAACAGATAACTGCCAACTGCCATCCGTTAGAATGAATTTAAGGAGAAAACGTTTATAAAGTATTCAGAAGATGGAAAACAACAGTGCCGCTCCATTACTTGACAGCTCTAATTCTTGATGATGTAAAGCTGCTATTACTCAAACCTCAACTCACTTTGGTTCTTTATCTAATTAAATATGATTTAAGGTGCTCTCTCCCAAGATCCTTGCAGTAATAGTCTAACAACAGATGTCTAAGAGGAAGTATTAGCCCTATCTTTTGCATATGCTCCGGAGTTACAACTTTGGACTGCAGCTTCCATGTAAAGTAAGTATTCTGGGCTTCTGACACAGCAATTTTCCCATACCTTAGACAGGTATTGGTTTCAAACCAGCTCCATTTCAAATTGTTTTAGGGAAAAGCAGCCATCACCTTCATACCTTTCATCACATCTAATCAGTTAGGCATTAATCTGCTGACTCACTACAGCTAAAAAAAAAAGTCTGGCTGTCGTCTTCCTTTTTCTTCCCCTCTTCTTCTTTCTCCCCTGCTCCACACTTGCACAGCCCAGCCCTCCTACTCACACAACTCTGACACTAGCATGCACTCCACAACTTCATGAGCCACTATAGCTCACTAAGCCAGTGGAAAATTACACAGGTTCTCTCCCTCTGTCACGTTCAACTTTTGACGTGTAAGTGAGTCAGAGGCTCATAAAAGGCTCTAACAACTGCTAAACCTAGCATGAGGTAAGCAGCAGGAGCTAACAGCAGGGAGGAGAGAGCAAGAAGTTTCCCTTCCACTCATATTTAAACTTAATGAAGTACCATTCAAAAATTTCCCAAGTCTAGTTTGTGTTAATGAAATGTAATGATAAGAAGCTAGGGAGGGAAATGGCACTATGCTGTGGGTCATTATTTTTATTGATGAAACAGATTGATTAATCATGTCCATGAAAACATTTTAGGTTTTTCTTTATTCATCTTTGTGTAACCGCAAGATACACAAGTGTGGGTTTTTGCTAACTTAGAATATTAGCACATTATACCTGAAGTCTCTTCTGTGCTGCTTACACATTGTTTTTGAGCATCCTGAGCGCAAGCTTCATTCTAGAAATAACACATTTAAAATAGAACAAGTTAATAAATTTGAGAAATAACTCTGGAAAACAGGAAAGATACAAAGCATGTCAAATGCTGAAAAGCCAAAAAACTCTAATGACATCATCATAATTGCATTTGTTAGCTTTTACTTCTAGCTATTCTAGGTTGAAGGATATTAGCCTGACAAGACAAGAAACATGGGCAATATAAAATTTATATGCAGCTCATCGTCTGTATTGATGGTTTGTCAAAATAAATTTATACTTCTTGCAGCACAACTCTGTCAGAGATGACTCACACAATAAATTGCTCAGTGGCACTAACGAAACAAATTCCCCCAACCATTACAAAACCACTGAGTGCCAAAGAAAAACACTAAGCTTTGCAACTCACCTATCCCTTCCCTTTTATGGCATGTACCTTTGCTAAAACCAAGAGTACTCTACGGCAGGTTGCCCCTTCTCACACTCTCTGCTAGTTCTGTAAGAGGCAAATCATTCTTGTACGTTGTTCTAATATGAGATCAGCCTTGACACACCAACAGGTTGCACTGGGAAAACAAGCTGCTACACATCAGCTGTTCCATCATAACTGCATTTACACTGATCTCAGGCAACACTAGAAAACCTGAGGAAACTGAGAATGAACCTTTCCCTCATGAATAAATAAGATACTACGTGTTTATACCAGAACAAGGATACACAAAACACTGCAAAGAAATGGGTGTGAAAGACATACTGATTGTCCATGATAATATGCATGTAAAACTCTTTAATTGGGTTTTGAAATAAATGGAAAAGAGCATAGCAAAAGATGAAGTTTGTTTTAAACAAAGCAAATGAAGGTGACAATGAAAATGCTGTGTTCAGCAGTAACATTTTAACTTACTTTTAATTTAAACAAATATAACAGTAAGAGGTCAGACTGAATGAATACTTGAGTCCTAGGTAACTTCTTCCATCAAAACTTTAAAAAAATTGTTCAAAATTTTCCATCTCTCTCTCTCTCTCTCTCATAGCTGAAATGCTATAAACCAAGGCTTGCAAAGATTAAGTTTGCCTGACATATTAAGTTTGGTTATGCCTTTGCAAAAAAGAAAGCTTCATTCACTAGCTGAAGTACCAGGTCTTTAAATGGGTGAGTATGTTTGCACTGAAAACCTCCTCCTTTACAGAATTTCAGAAACTGGGCACTTCCAGACTGTAATTAAAGTTCTTTACCTGAGTAAAGTTGATTGTGTATATATTGTGCTCAGGAGGACAAGGATTTTGCTCAGGAAATCCATCCACAGAACTTTGATTTGGACAATCCTCTACTCCAAGCTGAGATTTTTCAGGTTTTGGTGATGCATTTATAGCTCTCAAGTCTCCTGAGTTTCCACAAGCATCTCTCATCTCTTTTTCTGTTCTGTAAGGTATGTATCTAGTTAATTTGAAACCAATTGAAGATAGCCTGCGCATGGGCTAAATTCTGTATAATTAATTATTTAATATAAAGCTTATGTAGTTGCAGAGAAACAGGGCACCTCTTTAAAAACAACATCATTCTACTAAACGGAATGCAAATTGTCAAACAAGTCTACCTAAAGTATTTCAGGAAAAAAGAGTCCCTAACTCCACTAATGGAGACTTTACTACTAAAAGCATGACCAAGCAGGAAGCCTTACAAGCTCATTAACATTTCTAAATTGATCAGCTCCTTAACATTTCCTTTCAGATAGTTTCATGGGAAACAATTAAGCAGCAAGGTGATTACTAAGTTCTGAAACAGCAAACTAAGTTAATGTTTTACCTCCAAAAGCTGCAGGACAACATGCAAGAGAGAAAAACCTTAAAAATAAAAGTCTAAACTGTACACCTATATGGATAAACACACATAATATCTATAAGCACACTGTTTCCATTACAGACGCATACTACACATGCACTTCAGCTGCATGTTTTAAGAGACTTTAAGAATAAAGTCAGTATTAACTGGTGATCCGTCCTACCTCTCAGTTTCGTCTACTTGCTTGATAAGTTCTACACTTCTAGTTGCAGAATCATGAAGAACTGAAGAATCACCTGCAGCTGGTCTGACCTGTTCTAGTTCCACCTTCTGCATTTCAGCAGTACCTCTCAGGGTTGTAGACTCTTAAGATATATAAGAATAAAAATTAAAAGAATATTTTGTGTGTGTGCGTGTGTACATAGACATGCATATTATTTTTACATATAAGTTTCTGTATATTAAAATGTATATATGTAGATGTAGATATATAAACACACTACAAAATAATTAACAATTTTGCTGTATATGTATGCATGTATACATATGTCTTATCTTGCCTTTGGTATGTTGTATGTTTTGCCAGTGATATGAAGATAATTAAGAGTTTAAATACCACCTTTTTTTGTAACTGCTTTAAGAATATGGAAACAATTCTGTTTATCTCCCTTCTGGTTTTAATAGAAGGGAAAGACAGTAATAACAGAAAAAAGTACATTGTATTGTACTGTATTTCTGTAATCAGCAGTCCAGTAATTTAAGGGCTTTCCAGGTAATTTAAGACCTGCATGGAAAAACTGCTATTCAGATTTCATTTAATTTTATACTGAAAGGTATACTTATGTACAAAACTATACCATACATGGATGCCCCACATTACAGTGGTGACAAATCATCCGTGAACATGAACAGAAGGTGAAGACTTCCAGCTTAGTTTCATTTCATGAAGAGATGTGAACCCACCAGAAGAAACCATTTTCAGAACTCTAGGATAAGAAACAGGCTTACCACTTTCAACTTGCTCTAGTTGTTCCACTGGTACATTTGTATTAAGTGACTCCTGAATTATGTTTTCATTGGACCTCAATACTCCAAAGGCTGGCTCAGGCTTCAGGAGTCTGCCTCTTGTCAGTCTCACACTATTCACTGTAGGCAAAGAGCTATCACTGCAATTAAAAAGGAAAAATGCCATCAATATAGCTCTTGATTTTTGACAGTGCAGAGAAGAGATACGAGAGATGGAATAGATGAGATAATGAAGAGCTGAAATACAGGCTGCAGGTGGCAGAGGAGACAGAAGACTATTTGGCGGAACAAAAAATAAAGATCATCTGGGAATTGGAACAGGCAGGTTGTCGTGGTTTAACCCCAGCTGGCAACTGAGCACCATGCAGCCGCTTGCTCACTCCCCCCACCCCCAGTGGGATGGAGGAGAGAATCGGGGGGGAGGGGGGGAGAGTAAAACTCATGGGTTGAGATAAGAACAGTTTAATAGGACAGAAAAGGAAGGGAAAGTCATACTACTATTACTACTAAGAGAATATACAGAACAAGTGATGCACAATGCAATTGCTCACCACCTGCTGACCAATGCCCAGCCAATCCCCAAGCCGTGGTGCCCCCTGGCAAACTCCTCCCAGTTTATATACTGGGCATGATGTAATATGGTATGGAATACCCCTTTGGCTTGTTTGGGTCAGCTGTCCTGGCTGTGTCCCCTCGCAGTTTCTTGTGCACTCCCAGCCTCCACTGGCAGGGCAGTATGAAAAGCTTAAAAGTCCTTGACTTAGTATAAAGACTGCTTAGCAACAACTAAAACACCAGTGTGTTATCAACATTATTCTCATCCTAAATCAAAAACACAGCTTTATACCACCTAAGAAGAAAATTAACTTTATTCCAGCCAAAACCAGGACACAGGTATACTGCAAACTAGGATGTTCCCTACCTACAGAAAAAAAAATGAGAATTGAAGTATTTAAAAAACATGAGAAGATCAGAAATTTAACACTGATCACATGGTAGTAAGTTCTGATTAATAATACAATAAAAGAACCACTGGACTTAAAATATCTTTGATTATAATTTTTTAGAGGAGTATAATGTGATAGTTTAAGCAATCAACAAATTAAATAGTCTTTCAAATAATACATGATCACCAGCAGATTTTTTCTGAAAAGGTGTTCTATCAAGCTGTTTCAACATTCACAAATGCTTGCACAAAATTAAAAAACATAAAGCATTAAAAAACATAATGATAGAAGATCAGCTGGTTCCTTGACATCCCTTTGCTCTAAATCTTTGATGTACATCCCACGGCAGCAGTGACACTTAAGCAATTTGCATTGGCCTGATTAGCTGTAAAGTACTTTGGGAAAATGAGCTTCATAATTAACAGTGATACACACCAACTAAGCCTGAATATTCTTTTCTCCCCCACCAGGGTAAACTTAACTTCAGGAGTGAAGAACAAGTTCTACATCCCCCAAATTATACACCAACATCTCACAAAAGTTGCAAGAAAGAGACATGAGAGGTTTTCCAGATTACATATCAAATTACAGAAACTGAGAAACATTCACTAAAGCAAGACTGCTTGCAATTCAGTAAAAATGCCAGAAAGAACCTAGCAAAAGCAAGCAGTATCAGAGGATCTCTCTCCATAAAGAAAATGAAGTAGTAATTTCACCTGGTATCTGTAGCATTTTTCTCAAAATATTCTTCGACACCTATTCTTGTGCCAGTGCTTTGATCCTCTACATTAATGTTGCTTCCATCCTCAGAAGGGACCAATTCCTTGGTAGAAGTGTCTGAAGAAAGTAAATATTGACTAGAAGTTCTATTTTGTTTGGAGTAGGCGTGGGTTACAAGGCTATTGGCAATGTCCAACTCATCTTTAGCGGGTAACATGTGTGTCCATTCTGGTTAGAACAATAAACAGAATAGGAAAGCATAACTTAAAAGACTCAGGTTTGGCATGTACATAAAGCTATTTTACAGATGTTCAGCTTCAAACCTCATTTAACAAAGTCTGCATTTTCCAAAGACGCAAATTCAAATCCCTGGTAAATGCAGTCCTAAGATCACACTTTTGATAGTAAGAATGCAGAAACTAATATTCAACCAATGAAAGCAAATAATAAATTCTAAATAAAAGTCTATAAAAAAAAAATAGACTAAAGCCAGGTAATTTCAGGTTGTAGCTAGTTAGGCAGAAAAAGCTATGCTTCACGTTAAAGGCCTGAAAAGACCACTGATAGTTACGGTCATTTAAGCCCGATTCCTTTCTTTTGTCCAATTTATGTGACCAGATTAATTCAAACATGTCCTTCCTAAAACAGGTCTCAGAAACATGTTTCTAGCACAGTGATGCAGTTGGCAATATCCACTAAGGTGCCTTTTTCCAGACAACCTGCATTGCCTAGTCTCACTAGGTGTTACAATTCAGCAGGACTAAAAACATAAAAGACTCTTGATCTCCTGCTATGCAGGGGCATGTGGAAGAAGAACTTTGCAGCCACTGCTCCATCCATCCTTAGGTGGACCCAGAAAGTACAAGCAAGGCTTTGTCCCATAAATCAGATCATACCTTCAGTACTTGTTTTTAACTGGAACATAGGATCACCCATTGCAAGTAAAGTCATGGCAGCTTCAGTGCTTCCATCATTAATTCCTGCAAAGTTGTTCACACACATTAAAAGTCACAAGCACCTTAACCAGAAATCCACTTATCCATATTCAAAAAGCATTTGACACTATCATCAATATAGTGAAGTACATATTTTTTAAATTGTTGCCATTCATGGATCAAGATGCTTGTAGACAGACAGCAATTCTCACCTACTAAATTCAAACTATTGTAAAAACACTGAGCAGCAACATTATTCCCTTTAATAGCATATTGGGTACAGGTGGCAAGGTATTGGCAGCAGGAGGACAGCCCTGGACACAGCCAGTTCCAGCTGACCCACCACAGGACACAGCTGAGCCTGTCAGCCAAGACAGTGGCACCTTTGGGAAATAGATTTAAGAAAGGGGAAAATGTTGCATAGCAGTGAAGAGTGAGGGAAAAAGTGTCAGAAACAACCCTGCAAACAAACACCAAGGTCAGTAAGGAAAGAAGGGGAGGAGGTGCTCCATACGTGGGAGCAGAGATTCCCCTGTAACCTGTGGAGGAGACCTTAGTGGAGCAGGCAGATATTCCCTGAAGCAAGTGCATCCTGTAGAGGACCCATCATGGAGCAGACTTATCCTGAAGAACTGTACCCCACAGGCAAGGCCCCAGACGGGAGCAGGGGAAGAGCATGAGGAGGAAGAAGCAGCAGAGATGAAGTGTTAGGAACTGACTGCAACCCCCATTCCCCATCCCCCTGTGCCCCTTGTGGGGAGGAGGGAGAGGAGTGGGAAATGAAGGTGTGAACTTGAGCCTAAGAAGGTGGGGAGGGGAAGGTGTTTTAGTTTTTGCCTTTGTTTCTCACCATCCTACTCTATTTTGTTTGGCAATAGATTAAATTTGTTTTCTGCAAATTGAGTCTGTTTTGGTAAGTGATCTCCTTGTCTTTATCTCAACCCAGGAGCTTTTCCATTTTATTTTCTCCCCTCATCCTGTTGAAGAGGAAGAGTGGGAGAGCAGCTGGGTGGACATCTTGCAGTTGGCCGAGGTCAGCCCGCCACAAATGGAAAAGAAAGAGGTAGCAGTTTAATCACAGAAATCTATAACCTATAGTGTTGATCCACATTCTAGTTGAGACTCCCAATTCCTAATTTCTATCCACAATACATCCCTTTGCCTATTACTAACTGGTCGTATCCAAGAAAACATTTCCACCCTCCAAAACCGTTGTACTGAAATAAATCAAAAGAACAAAATAGGCTTCCCCTCCTTCAACTAAGACAGTAGCCCACTCAACTTCCAGTGCCTAGGAAGATGTATTGAGAATGTATTTAAATTTACAAGTGAAAGCTATTCTAAAAATTAATAGATCCCTAAGAGTTTGTAACATATCTCATATGGTAAGAACACTTGCTTCTGGAAGACTGTGATCACAGTCTGTCACACATGCTATTTTACCAGTTCAGGATATTAAAGTCACAGACCACAAGAGATGACAAAGCTATGAATCTGCCCACTCTTTGTATCACTCAGTCACATGTCAAGCAAGCTGCAAGTAAGCACTTGCAAAGTTTCCTCTTCTTCTGGTACAACTAACCAGAGCATGGGAAACTGATAGACAGAATACACAAAAGGCACATTCTGACCCTGCAAAACAGAACCTTGCAATGCTTGGTCCCCCTACTTGATAGAGAACAGCAAGAAAGAAAATGGTTTAAATCTCCAAAACATAAAAGCATCCAGTATCTCATGAGCAGGTTTTTTTATAAGATACATAAACCTCCAAACTTCCAGCAAGAATAACTACGTATTGGTAGCAAGTTAATGGGAAGGATACGAACAAGATTGTTTCATATCTACCTTTGTCCACCTCTGGATTTTCATGTACAGTTGTTTCCTTAAATAAAAAGAAAAGCAATATCAAAGTTCTATAAAAAAATAAGTCCACAATTTTAATTTAATGCTTACAGGTAAATTCTCTGCCTAAAGGTTACCCTGGCTTTGAAAGGGTATTTTAAAGGGTAACAATATTTACTTACATAGTTTTCCCATAGCTGTGTCCCTCATATCTGTGTGAGACTGCTATTAAGCTATACTGTTACAAGCAGACACGGCAACCTGACACTGTCCACATAGCTCTGTATGTGCTATGAAACAAAAAGCAAAAAAAACCCAACAACAACAACAACAAAAGACATTCTTACAGCTGTTGAGGTGTTTACTTTTTCCTCCCTCTCTACCACTGGCTGGACAGATGCATGCGAGAGACTTTCAACATCAGTAGCCACCTGCACATCTGGTATATTCACAACTATTTCCAGCTGTAAAAATAATTTTAAAAGTATTTCAGTTCACCAGCCCCAAAAGAAAATTTGTCAAATGCAAATTTTTATAAACCACATATACTTACCAGATCTTGAACATTTAGTGGGATCCTTCTCAAAAATCAAGTCTTATACTACATACCTTATGATTTAAGAAGGCAGCAGTTGTGTGAACTGGAGGCAGAACTGGTAGTGCTGCTTGTAACTAACTGGAAGCATCAGACCTTGTTTCTAGTTGTTTATTACTCCACCAAACTAAGTTATGTGGCTGAGATCTTTCATGGTGGCTGTTTACCTCAAATGGATTTTGTTAGTTTTCACACTTTTTCTGCTTTTTAAGTCTTCAGGAAGGAAAAACAGTCCAGCCTTTTTCCAAAGTAAGACCAGGGAATACATCCCCCCACACACAGACACCCACCCACCATTTTAGCTATGATTATTTTTTCTTCTTCAACACTGTCTTTTCACTGAGAACTTCAGACATTTAGCGTTTTCAGAAACAAGAACTTGAAATATGCCAGGAAGCCTAGAGTATTTGCAGTGAGGTTCTTACGAAAAACACTGGTCAATCTGGGTAGCTTTCAAAGGCTTGCACTTTTACAGATACCTTCCACTGATCTATTTAAGTTTGGCAACAGCTGAGTCTTCAGTTATCTAACTTTATCACTTACTAGTACTCATGGCTCCTCTGTGTTAAACCAGGAAACTTGATCATGATCCCCACACATAATATATTCCACATCTAAATGAAGGGATTCAGCAAAACTTTCTGTGCAACAACTTTGCTGTCCATTATTATTCTAGAGGCTCCCTTAGTGTATTGAGTGAGCTTTAAATTCTCTTGCTGTTTGACCCAGAGAAAGAAACAGTGTGATTAATTCAGGAGACAAAAAGCAGGATTTCAATGGGAGAAGAGAGCAAGATGACTAGTAGTAGTAAGCAAAAAGAATTGCAGCGAATGGGAAGAAGTAGTGATGAAGATCTGAGGTATGAATGGAACAGGTTGGATAAACAGATTGGAATGAAGCAAAAAGAAAGGAAAAAAAAAAGAGCTGTGAAGACACATCACTGAGATAAGACAGGCTAAAAGGGACAAAAAATGCAAAGAAGTCACACTGAATGATAGGTAAAAAAATAGAAAAATGTCTAAACCTTTCAGCACAGCCCATTTCAAGGCCTTGAACAGAGTCCACTGTTCCCAAACCTCAACAGTTTCCTGATGACAAAAAAGTATGCCATTTCCTCTCTAGTGACTGGTCTTACTAGACACGATACCAAGTCTTGCTACAGTCTTACAGTCTCGAGTTTTATTCTAGTCTAAGAGTACAATTAAAACATAGGCCTGCACTCTAGGCTTAAAATTTCCAACTCTACAAATGGTCCATGAAAGAGTCAGAACATACGGCTTTTGAAAAAAATAGACACAGATGTAGATGGTATCTCACTGCAGGGACCAACGCCCATGCATCTGCCCATGCCAAACAGAGCAGGAACACCCCTGAATGGACTGCAGTCCACGGAGGACCCACGCTGGAACACGGACAAGGAATGGAGTCCATTCCATTGCAGTGTCGAACTCTACAGCCTGAACCAAAGGGACAAGGGCTAGAGATTTAAATGGATATACGTTTAAACTTTTTTTAATCCATTGAGTTGTATCCTGTACTAAGTACTACAGCAAGAACAACATGAATCAAGGGAAGACAAGCCCCACAAGAAACAAGGCGAGTGCAGCAGTGACCAACCTAAGCTGGCTTTGGTGCCCAAAAACTCAACACAACATGCCACCTCTCCTAAGCAATCACATTAATACATGTAGCCAAAGGCATGGACTAAATAACTCAAATGACATTTGATGGACATTTTAAGGGGGTGGCCCACAGACCAAGGGAATGATATCCGTGCATCTATCAAAGGACAGGAAAAGAAGTTGTGGTTAATAAGGATGTACTGGATAGTGTAGGACCTGAGCATGACACAAATGGTATGAAATAAAGGGTGAAGGCTGTATTGGGCATGGCTGGGATGAAGTTAATTTTCTTCAGAGCGGCCCACATGATGCTGTGTTTTGGATTTATAACTACAACAGTGTTGAAAACACACCAGTGTTTTTGCTATTGCTGAACAGTGCTTGCACAATGTCAAAGCTTTTGTTTTCCTACTCTTTGCCTCAGCAAGTAGGCTGGGGCTGGGCAAGAGGTCAGGAAAGCACACAGCTGGGACAGCTGACCCATAATGAATGAAGGGATATTCCATATCATATAATGCCATGCTTAGCAATAAAAGCTCAGGGAAAGGAGGAGAAGACGAGGGCATTTGTGGTTATGGCATTTGTCTTCCAGAGTAATTCTTACATTGGCTGAGGCCTTGTTTTCCAGGAAGTGGCCTGCCAATGCAAAGTAGTGAATAAATTCCTTATTTTGCTTTGCTTTCATATGCAGCTTTTGCTTCATCTATTGAACTGTCTTTATATCAATCCATAAGTCTTCTTACCTTCCTTCTGTTTTCTCCTTGTCCCACAGGAGAGGGGAGTGAGCAAGCAGCTGTGTGTGTGCCTGGCTGTGGGTCAGGGTCAGCTCAACAACACAGTTAAAAGTTTCTTGGTGAGGGGGAGACCAGATGCAGAAACACCTCCCTCATTCCCTAACATTCAAATGTAAAATTGAAATGCTCCATGTTTTCCACCTTGGACCTCAAAGCACATAGTAAGCATGGTAGCCTGTGCCTACATTCAATCCCAATAAATGAACTGGTGAGCACCCTGCAGACCTATATAGAGTTTGTAAAGATAACTGGAACTTAGACTGATGTCATATTCTGTTCAAAACCAAGTACATGTGCCAAGTAACATCCCTGCTACTCTGACGGCCATTCATTATGAATTAAACTAAATTGGGATAAACCCCAAGTATTTGGAGATGCAATTAGAATAAAAGGTGTTTAAACAATCAAAACAAAACTACGTATGCAGAACCCAGCTACATGATACCTCCTCCATGGTTTCCTCTATCTGAACAGGAACAGGTTTTGGAGATCGAAGACCTATGGGAACAAACACTGGAGCTTTGTTTACTTCCTCCGGTGCAAAGCATTCATCTTCATCATCAGGCTCGAAGTCATCTGGCTCCTCCTCCTCCTCCTCTTGAGAAGCCCGGAGGGTCACCAAGGTTGTCTTTGAACTTCTGTGCTTCTTTCCAGATTTCCTTCTATGTGTAGTTTTCAAACTTTTACCTCTAGTAGCACTCAGTTTAACTTCTTGCCTTTGATTCCACTTCTCACTGCAATCAGCCTCACATTCAGAGGCAGAAGAAGCAGCAGTTCTTAGCTCCAAGACATGTTTTGGCAGTGCTATCCATTTTGATGACCTTCTGGACAACCTTCTAAAGTACAGAGCAAAAGCATGTTTAAAAAAACAATGAAGTCCAAGACATTCCAAAAAAAGGGGTACCACAAATCAAAATAAAACTCAATGAATAAAAATGGATCTTTGTGACCAACAATAGAATCTATTTACTTTCTAACATATAGTGACAAAAATGCATTCACATACAATTTAATCAGAAATAACATGTATGCACAAAGTACTTATGTGTATTAAGCAGTTTCAGAGTGTTGGAAAGCTGCACAATTAAATTTACAAGATACAGAATTCTTTGATTAGAAAAGGATGCATTCATTTTCATTTTGAGGGATGTAGAAGTCACGTGCTTTTTACACCATGAGAACATTTCCAGTTCTCTTTTGCTAAAGCTATACTAGAAGCCTGAACTATGATACTTAAGTTGATCAGACTGATGTCTAGAAACTAGAACTGTTAGATGATAACTGGTTATCTGGTCTGGTTTCTCAGACAGCAATCTCTTCAATAATCAGCTGCTTACTGTTTCCCTCCTCAAAATGATGGGTGTGACCACTTTGGGTACTAAAAGTAATTCCAAACTTCCCCCTAAAAACATCCTCCTTGGTAAACTGGTGGGGAGGGGAAAAAATAGCAGCAGAGGACACTTCCAGCACAGTTTGTTTAGGTTAATCCCACAATCCCTGTGGCCCCAATATGGGTACTTCACAGTTGTTCCCTTTAAAATCAGGAATTCCTGTTGAAACCAAAGGTGGACCCTGGTATGGAGTGGTGGGAGCGCTGGCTGTGTTCATTTTATGAGAGTGCAGGCAGGGTAAGAGACTTACAGCTATCTGTATGCATCTAGTAGAGTTCAGATGGAAGACACAAGGATTGACATCCTGCATGCATTCACTTAACACACTGTAGAACTATGGCTAATCATGTTTTTAAAACAAAAGCCAAAACCAATCAGTTGAGCTTACAAACCAAAATTAGTTGTTTTACCTTGTGAGATTGTCTGAATTTTCCTGAGAAGTAGAAAGCTGAGAATCATCTTCTTGTTCGACTTGACTCTCGCTCTCTGATGAAATCTCTGGAGACTGGAGTCTACTATCCTGCCTGATTCTTTTACAAGATGTTTCTTCAACAGAGTCTGTAAAATTGTGTTTTCTTGTAGCCTCTGAGAAACATGCAGCTTCCACTATGTTACTGGAGTTTTGCTGAACAGAGGAGACAATTACCACTGTATTAAGAGCCAAACATTTGTAACTGGTTTTGGTGACAAGAAGATCTAAAGGACTAAGTTTGAGGTTATTGAAAACATGCCCAGCTGTCACCTCTGACAGCTTAGGACATTTTTCCCCATCTTCTTTAATTCTGGGCTCCATAGCAGAAGTGTCATTAGATGGTATTATCTATGATGCCTGAATTCCCAGAGCTGCTACTAGTTAATTGACCGATGCCTTGCTCAACTTATCAAGAGCAGCGACTTTTCAGAAGCTGGAAAGATGAGTCATTTTCTAAAACTACTTATTAATTTTAAGAACAATTTGAGGGAAGGAAAAGTTATTTCTTTCCGCCCTGTGAACAAACCAGGAAGAAAAAACTACCCTAGTTTACAGAACAGTATTTAAATATTCAAAACACATACAGAAACATATCCCAGAACATAAAAAAACATCAGCAAGCACAGTTCTGTCAACTATGGATACTAAATAATATGTTAACTGAAAGATTTTAGTAATCCATCCAGAAAATGAAGAACACCAGATAAACTTGATTCAGGTATCACAACTTTAGACAGAGAAGGAACTAGTCTGGGCTAGGTTAGCCCTGCTGAGCAAATTTAAGCAGAAGGTCTGAACTTTGTTCACATACATTTCAAATTGTAAGTGTATTTATATGGATTTTAGGTAGTATCTAGTGTTAGACAGCTGTCTTAATTTCCATTGTTCAATGAATAAAAGACATTAAATTAATTGGTAACAGTGTTAGCAGGTATTTATAATGCAGACTTCTGACAGTATAAACTGTAAAACTTAAGACAACATTGTACATTAAATATTCCCACTTTTTTTAGATTGCGGGGTCCATCTACTCAGCAGAATTTCCGATAGTGAATTAAAAAAAAGAAAGAATCACATTAACCTTTCCCAGCCATATACTGGATTTCTGTGCCATCTATGGTTCTAAGAACTTAAACAGAAGAATCGAGGTATAAATTGCTCAAAATACATGATCAGCACTTACCATTGATACACCTGTTATTTCTAACTCCAAACTCTCTTCTGAATTTCTGTTCTCAGCATTGTCCTCTTCTCTGTTTTCACCTTCTTCGGGATAATCTCTTTTTCTAGTAACTCTCATTAGGTTTGTCCTAGGGTTCCAGTGGGGTTCCCTCACTTGATGCATTGTATCATTCTGTTTACTTTCTTCTCCAGAATTTAATATATCATTGGACCTACAAAAATATTTTTCAACTTTTACTTGTCAGGAACTACAAAATACACTCTACAAGCTTGGCTTATTACTTCCAGCTAGAAATGAACTTAAGTGCTCTGCATTTTTATGTGTTTAGTTGGAGAAGTTTAAAAAAACATAAAGGAAGAAAAAATGTGAAAAGATGATAATTTGCTCTTCTGCAGTAGTGAACCTTTCTGATTACTTTTGGAAAAATCTTATGGAAGGAAAACAACATTAAGAAGTCAGGTAGAGCACAAAATTTCAGTTATACCACCATATGTCCCCAAAATCAAGCAACCATAGGAACATTATGTTAATTAATTCCAGTGCCCAAGGTACTACTGTTTTTAAACAGGGTGAAATTCTAGCATCTGTTCAAGCACTTTCAGATCAGTAAGACAGATATCTTGGGCTTTTAACCTCATGTCTCGGGAAAGGGCAAAAAGGAGGATTCAGGGAACTAAAGGACAGTCAGCATCACCTCAGTCCCTGGGAAAGTGATGGAATGACTAATCCTGGAAACCATTTCCAGACACATAAAAAACAAGAAGGTGACTTGGAGTAGTGAGCATGGATTCACAATGGGGAAGTCACACTTAACTGACTTGATAACCTTTTATGATGAAATGACTGGCTTGATAGGTGAAGGGAGAGCAGTAGATCATGTCTACCTTGACTTCAGTAAGGCTTCTAACGCTATCTCCCCTAACATCCTCACAGGGGAGCTGATAGAGGTATGGGCTGGATCAGCAGACAAAGAGGTGCACTGAAAACTGACTGAATGACCAGACTCAGAGGGTGGTGATCAGTGCCACAAAGTCTAGTTGGTGGCCAGTAACTAAGAGTGTACCCTGTGGATCAATACTGTGTCCAGTCCTGTTCAACTTCTTCATTAATGATCTGGACAATGGGACAGGGCATACCCTCAGCAAGTTTACAGATGACACAGAACTGGGAGGAGTGGGTGATACATCAGAGGGTCATTCTGCCAACTAGAGGGACCTGGACAGGCTGAAGAAATGGGCTGACAGGAACCTCATGCAGTTCAACAATGGGAAGTGCAAAGTCCTGCACCTGGGGAGGAACAACCCCCGGCACCACTATGTACTGGAGGCACCCAGATTAAAAGCAGCTTTGCAGGAAAGAATGTGGGTGTCCTGGCAGACACAAGGATGAATGCGAGCCAGGAATGTGCCCTTGCAGCAAAGAAAGCTAACGGTATCCTGGGCTGCACTAGAAGAAGTGTTGCCAGCAGGTTGAGGGAGGTGATCCTTCCCCCCTACTCAGTGCTGTGAGGCCACACCTGCAGTAATGTACTCGAGCACCCAGAACTGGTCACTGGAGAGACATGGACTTACTGGATAGAGTCCAGCAAAGGGCTATCAAAGGTGAAGGGACAGAAGCATCTCTCCAATGATGAAAGGCTAAAAAGAGCGAGGACAGTTCAGCCTGCAGAAAGAGAAGGCTTGGTGGGAGTGGGTGAGGAAATCTCATCAATGTATATCAATACCTGAAGGGAAGGTGTAAACATAGACGGAGACAGGCTCTTTCCAGTGGTGCCCAGTGACAGGACAAGAGGTGATAGGCACAAAAAGAAACACAGGAGGTTCCCTCTGAACATCAGGAAACACTTTTTCCACTGTGAGGGTGACGGAGCACTGGCACAGGTTACCCAGAGACTGTGGAGTCTCCATCCTTGGCAATATTCAAAAGCCATCTGACATGGTATTAGGTAACCAGCTCTAGGTGGCCCTGCTTGAGCAGGGAGGTTGGACCAGATGACCTGCAGAGGTCCTTTCCTACCTCAACCATTCTATGATTCTGAAATTCTACCATCACAGAAGCCAAGAAGACTGTAAGGTAAGGCCCTTGCCTTGTTAGCATAAAGACTCTGGGATATGATTTCAACGTTAAGTTATGAAAGAGATTTTAAGCAGAGGCTCAGAGACAGATGGGAACCAGAAGCTAATTTTAGAAAACAGCAAAAGTAAATTGATTTGAGGCTGCTCTGTGTCCGTTGAGTAAAAGGTAGCTTATAACATAACCCAGAACTATTACATGTAAATGGCAGTATCTGCCTCCTATTACACATACATAAAAAGCATCCCTTCCACCAAGGGACCAGGACACTGCACATCATTGCATGAACTTCTCCTGCTGGAAAGAAAAAGTGAAGACACTCAGAATACATCTTAGACAGAAAGCTCATTTTATGTTACTCTGCCTACCACTTCTCAATTATAAGTGAGTGCAAATGGCACTGCTCAGTCTTCCTTTCAAGGGTCCACATTCATAGTGCACTGTACCCTAAGAATGTATTACTGAGAAGTTCAGCTGTCTGAACTCTGATTACTTGCTTCGACTCTCACCTGCAACATACCTTCTAAAAAGGAAAATGGCCTTGAGGAAAATTCTGTTAAAAACTCTTATATTACCTAAGGATGCCATCTAGTGACATTCACAGCACGTAGCATATAACAACTAGTAGAGTTCAAAGCTTACACTTCAAAAAGCAAGTGCTGTATGAAAACAACTGGACAAATACACAAAGTTTTTAAAGAGCTTTTTTTACTTTGACAACCAGGAACTTTACCTTTCTATGCTATCCTGAATGCTTCCTATAGCATCTGTAGATAGATGTTCTTGTTCTCCCTTGCTGTGACAGTCAGGTGATTTTTCAGAGGAACAGAGTGCTTCTGAGTTCGTACTTTTTGGATTTATGTCTAAATTGTCATTCTTGGCCAAATTCCCCACAAACAACAATACTTCTGCATCATCCTTAGATTTGAGAAAAAAACCCAACAATATTAGCACAAAATACATCACCTGTAAAACAAAGCATGGCAAGTTATGATCAAGTTGTTAATCTGAGACAAAACTTTGCTTAAAAACTTTCAAGTAGTTTATGGCACCCGTTACTGTTCCTTACTCCTTTAGAGGAGGTATTTACCTAATAAAAACAGATACTATAACCAATACAGTCTTTCATGAGCAACCACCAAGGAGTTCAGAAGAAACCCAGCAACAGAAATATGGCATTGTCGTGGTTTAACCCCAGCCAGCAACTAAGCACCATGCAGCTGCTCACTCACACACACCCCCACCCAGTGGGATAGGGGAGAAAATCAGGAAAAGAAGTAAAACTCGTGGGTTGAGATAAGAACGGTTTAATAGAACAGAAAAGAAGAAACTAATAATGATAACGATAACACTAATAAAATCACAGCAGTAATAATAAAAGGAGTGCAATATACAAATGATGCACAGTGTGATTGTTCGCCCCCTGCCGATCGACGCCCAGTTAATCCCCAAGCGGTGATATCCCCCCCCCCCCCCCCATTTATATACTAGATGTGATGTACACATGGTATGGAATACCCCGTTGGCCAGTTTGGGTCAGGTGCCCTGGCTGTGTCTCGTCCCAACTTCTTGTGCCCCTCCATCTTTCTCGCTAGCTGGGCATGAGAAGCTGAAAAATCCTTGACCTTAGACTAAACACTACTTAGCAACAACTGAAAACATCAGTGTTATCAACATTCTCATACTGAACTCAACACATAGCACTGCACTAGCTACTAAAAATCAACTCTATCCAAGCCAAAACCAGGACAGGCATGCAGGTAACTAACTATTCATGTATCACAAATTTTGTATTTCAGTCATGTTCAAGTGAAGTCTTTAGATTTATTAAAAGAAGACTATATATTATCAATGTGTCATTAACAGAATTTTAGAAGACCTCATAGTAGGGTGCAAATACTAAAGAATGTAATTCTGACGAGTCCAAAATTAATTTATCCACTTAAACCAGCTTATTCTGAGGTCTTAAAACAGCTGGTGTGGAACCAAGCATCAGAAAGTATAGTCAGAAATATCTGAAGAGAATTCTTACTTTTGAGGAAAGAGGTTCCTCAGATTCTTCTACCACAGGTAGATTCTCTCCTTTATTTGCTTCTTCCTCAACTGCAGCAACAAGTTTTTGTGCCACTGGAGATTCTTTTTCACTATATACTCTTGCTAGGTCTGGTCTAGTTCTCAGAGATCCATTCCTTATGAATTGTCCTGGTTTCAGAGCACCCAGCTTGCCTTCTTGGGAAATGGATTTTTCAGCACTAGTGAATTTAAAGCAAACAAACAAAACAGAACAACAACAAAAAAAAACACCTAAAAATGATGTCACTTGACTTTGGGGTGGGGGTGGGGGGGAGCAATTCTGCACTCATTAAGTTTTGAATCAACCTTAATACAGGAGAGTTAGAGACTGATATACTGTTTTGTTTAAAATTGAGAAACTTATCTTTTCAAATATATATTTCTCACTAGGGGCATTTATGGTTAACTTGTGAGAAGGAATAAAAGGATTTCTTTGTCAATGCATTTTTAACATCAAGAAAAAAGTTGTGCTGCTAACTATACCAACATCAAAGTATCTGCAGTCTCATACACACTTAAGGTCTTATTTTAACAAGAGCAGCAGTAAAATAGAAGAGCACACTGGGATCTTTGACACTTTACAAAATTTGTAGCTGTGTATGGTAGCTGTACAAACCCAATAAAAGAAAATCTTGGTCAAAAAGAGCTATAAGCTCATATAGATCAAGTATGTACCAGATAAACAATGACAAGTAGCTCAGCTCAACTAAAAATGGGCTCTGAAAACCTGGGAAGAAGCTGCCTGTAGGCACTGAAAATTAAACATTGGGGAAAGACAGGTAACAAGGAACAAAAGAATTGACACTTGGAAAGGTGTCTCATTATGCACCAGATGGAAGCTTTTCAAATGCAATTTTGCTAAACTCTAACCTCACCTGCTTTGTTCATACAATACGTTTTCAGAAATAAAGGGCATCTGAGGCGCCTCTTGCTGTTCCTGTTCCTCTTTGCTCAATACATCTGCTTGACACAATACAGCTTCATTTTCACCCTTTAATTTGCAATTAAAAAAGCATGAAGAAAAAGAGAATCAGAAGTTTTTAAAACGGGCATGTATTTTATAAAGAAAAAACCCACAAAACCCCCTACAGATCTCTGTGCTATCTTCCGGATCTGAATCAAGAAAAGAATCACATTATATTTATTGAGGGTAACCTGCCTGAGCACATAATTCAATTTATAGGCAAGTAGGAACAGAAGTCTTCTTAGTCCTGGCCTAGCTAGGGTTAGGCTTTTAAATACTACATGCACCCAGGCATTATGGGTAACACTTTTCTATTTAGCATTCAATCAACCCTCTCTTACACAGAGCACTATGGAAACAAAATACTTTGGTAAATGCAAAAGCCTTCAAAAATTGGACAGTGCAGACAGAGCACAGCACAGATACACCCAAGCCACTATAACATAACCTCAGATTCAGAGGGGCTTATTAGTTTTACTTCTGTATTTGCTACATGTTTCTACAAAGAAGCCACCCGAACATATCCCTCAGCACTTCAGGACTGTGACAGCCTTATCAGTACAAAGGAGCATCAGACCTGCTGTGGTTCTATAGATTTGCACAGCACAGAGCAGATGTACGTGCATGGTCCACAGGCCACTGTCTAGAACAGACAAAGCTGAATTGTTGGCTAGGGGTGATCTGACACCATAGCACTGAGAGGGAGACTACAGATCCAGTGCACTCATGCTCCTCTCTGGGAAAGCAGCACACAAGTACTTCAAGCCAGCTCTACACTGATTCAAGAACAAAACCAGCTATAACCACTCCAAAAAACCAAGTCACTCTTACAATGCTGAGCTGCGTTTGAGATCTAAGACAAGTCTGCGGGGAGATGCCTATATCCATGACGTGATTCATGAGCAACCCGCAAAACAGTCAGAGTTCATCACACTATAATGGCTTTTGAGGATTTCAATACCTTTTGCAGTGCCTAGTAAAGTGTCGGTGGACATACAAAGTGTAGGTGAATGACTCAATTTACCCATGTAAAGTAAAGGAGCATCAGGCACTGTAGTGGTGAAGCCAGTCAAAGCTTACCAAATTAGTAAGACCTTTTTTTTTATTATTTTTTTTTAAACAGAAAAATAGCTCTGTACTAGATTCATCAACACAGATTCATCCAAATGAAAGATAAAAAGAGCAAAAAAGCTAATTTTTATGTATTGCAATGTAAAGCTGATTTTTATTCTAGAGTTTACCTTAAATGTGCATAATCCTTCTTCCTATCATGCAATCCAATAAAAATCAGATCCTTATTTTCTAGAAGACATTAATAGTACAAGTTGTAGACTTCACTGATTTCATACCTGCAATACCTCAACATACCAGGGTTTGGGGATATTTTTCATCTAGTATGGTGTTTCAGCTTCAGGGAATGCAACTTAAATGTTCGAATTTAACTTCATAAAACAGAACATGCAACTTGGAAACATATTTTTGAAGGCAAAGCACTTATTAAGACTTACAATGATGTTATTGGCAGACTCATCTTTTTGCAATACCAGCTGCTCTGCTCCAGGCTTTTCCTCCCTCTCATTTTCTGATATTTGTAATTCCTTCTTTCCAACAGCTCTTACCAAGTTTGGCTTGTACCTTTGTAATCTGCTCCATACTAACTGGACAGGTTGAAGAGGTGTTTGTTTACTTTCTTCTTCAGTGGTATTTTTGCTATCAATGCAAAGTCAGACAGAAAAAAATAAATCTGAAACTTAATACAGAAGTATGTCATTAACAAACACATGTTCATTATATTTACATATTAAAAACAACTGAGTTTTTAAAAGAAACCATGTAAAAGTAAAATTCTGCTGAGTTTAAATTACAAACATAAAAGTCCATTTCAGCAAAAATTTTAAAGCATTTGTCTCCTAACTACTTCTACAACAGAATTAACTAACTCATTTGGAAACATTAACTTACTGTCTGCTTATTACTATAAAGCCATTTTCACATGGTTTCTCTGATAAGCAAGCTCATATTCCTCTCCTTACATGAAAATGAAACTAGTGTTTCAGATGATGAAACAGTTGTAAAATGAATGCTCGTTAATTTAATGCTTAGCACAGAAGTAACTGGAATTTTAGTATCACTAGTGTCAAAAGTATGAGAACTGAGATTTTGTTCAGTATTTTTATTAGATTTTTCTTTGCCAGTTGGCACAGTGATTTCCTTCTAAAATACTTTCATTGTTACACTCAAAAGAAAAGTAGCTAAGCACTTACCCTGCATTAGTAGTTGAGGTGTCATCTTGGTTAATTTCAGGTAAACAAAACTTGAGTTCACCATCCTCTGATCTTGAAAATGTCTTTGGAGACTTACAACCTGGCCTCTCAGAAACCTCCTGAGAGCCAAGTGACTTCTCCTTTTCTAAGGATTTCAATGGTTGCAGGACGTCATATTTTCCTGCTTTCTGAAAAATGTAAACACAAGAACCAGAAGAAGTCATGATACTAAACCAAAAGGAAACATTACAATGTCCACGAAGTTCAGTACTAATCACTCTCTGAAGTGCTTCCCACAAAAATCCCTCTGTAACTGCTAACTAATAATTTCATAGTGTTTCCAGGACAAACACACATTTGTTTCTTTTAAACAAAACAGCTTGAAATCTACATTTCTTCTCTGCCATCTTCTATTAATACTTTTCTGTCTTCACTATCAACCCTCCAAGGCCACCTCAGGTCAGACAGACATCTGGACACATAACAAGAGATACAGAGTGGATGTAATTTTTTTCTCCTTGCATACAAGCAAGTGGAAAGTACAGGAGTTTTCATGTAGAAAAATCATCAGTATTTCATTTCACAAACCCAAAAGCTCAAATGTAACTAAAGAAAAAACCAAAAGCCTTACATCTGTATCAGGAAGGATGTTACATTCACTGTCACACTGTGTCAAACTTTCTTCTTTGTTGGTATCTTTCTGTGATACACCTTTATTCTTTACATTCAGCACTTCCTTTCTACTAGTTGTCATTCTTAAATTTGGCTTTGGTCTCTGGAATCGACTCCTCGGTAGCAGAGTTGATGATACAACAGTTTTATCCTCTTCCTTCCAAGGACCAGACTCCCTACAAACACAAACAAAAGAACAATCAAAGGCATGGGACAACAGTGATTGTCCAAGTCATGCATGACATACAAGTATGTAGCTTTCTCCAATATAGAAATCCTTAGCTGTTTTAGAGCAATAACAAAATTACTGACATTGTGAAAGATTCAATAAAAGCACATCAAACACCACCAAAAACCTGTGTATCTTATAAATAGGTGAGCAAAGGTAAGTTAAAAAAAGATGCCATTTCAGAACAACTGCAACTTCCAGTCACACTTTGAGAGGAATATACACATTTTACAAATGCCTTTGTGTCATCATGTTTAAAACTGCCCAGTAAATCTTACAGCACAGTTGTTTTGGTTTTTTTTAAAGGACACTTTAATAGGAAACCAAACCCTATACTCAAGGACTTACATAAGCCCATAGGGATGCACTGTTAGGACTAGTATGGAGAAGATAACCACAGGAACTGAGCATCAGAAAAATGTATTTATTTGAAAACTGGGCTTACAGTCTAAAGATCAAATTAATGTCCAAGAGCATATAAATTCAGTGCTTTTGAGCTCCTGGGTTTTTGTTTAAGTCCAGTATTGTCTGGATTAAACATCTCACTATAGATATAAAACTTGTTTTTAATGCTGGAATTGAATGTAGAAGTGAAGAATACGTAGAGATATTGATGGTTCAAAACAATGTCTTCTCTCCATCTAAAAAATAACCTTACCCTATATTGAAATCTGAAACCTGTTTCAAGACATCTGACAATCCCTTTCCGCTTTCACAGCTTTCTGCTTCTGAGGACTTTTCTTGGGAACACTGCCTTGTACGTATTGAGATCATCTCAGAATCTGTAGAGACATCCCCTTCTAACATCACATGGCATGGCTGAGTGTCTCCATGAGCCATCACATCCTAAAAGGAATAAAATTTTCACTCTATTAAGATGAAAGATGTGCTCAAGCTCCATTTTAGAAGAGCAGGGGAAAAAGTCTATTTTAGTATCTCTACAAAAACACTCAAAAAGATCTCTCTTGCTTCCTGTGCATCCAACTAATATTAGTAGATACTTTGAAAGTAAAAATTTGTTATTTTTCTACATATTTTTTATCTGAAGTGATCTCTTTTCCAAAAGACCTTTTTTCTCTGCACTTCTCTTTTTAGATCTGGTATTGCAAATAACACAACAAAGTGACATGTAATCCATTTATCCATGGAAAACAATGCAAGCGCAAGCATGAAGAATTTCTATGACGATTGAGTTTATTCTGAAAGAATAAATAAAGCATGCAAAGGCTATGCTTACAAATTATGTGTTATGTACCTAAAGGCTTCCACTTAGGACCCAGCAAAAGAGTGTGCCTAAGCAACTGCTCGAGAAACTTACATTTTTGAGGCATGGATCATTGTTTTCATCCCTATGGTGTATCACATCTTTTTCTACTTCTCCACCTTCAGTCTTCTCCTCTTCAGGATCTTTTTCATCTGTCAGGTCTTTTTGCCTTGCAACAGTTCTTCTTAGATTTGGTTTTGGTCTCTGCACTCTGCCTCTCTTTAGAGGTGTTGGTTTCAGCACACTGTGTTTGCTGTCTTCTTGTAAACCAGCTCTTTCATTAGACCTAGAAAAATACATAAGATCCCTAAGTACCACATCTGAAAGTGGGAGGAGTCTTGGAGAAGTGTTTTGGTTTTTTTTTTAAACAGTTATTAACACACACTTATCTAAAATGGAGCCATGCGTTACTAACTTGTTGTGGTTTAACCCAAGCCAGCAACTAAGCACCACACAGCCGCTCACTCACTCCCCCCACATCCAGTGGGATGGGGGAGAAAATCGGGAAAAGAAGTAAAACTCGTGGGTTGAGATAAGAACAGTTTAACAGAACAGAAAAGAAGAAACTAATAATGATAATGATAACACTAATAAAATGACAACAGTAGTAATAAAAGGACTGGAATGTACAAATGATGCACAGGGCAATTGCTCACCACCCGCCGACCGACACCCAGCCAGTCCCCGAGCGGCGATTCCCTGCCCCCCACTTCCCAGTTCCTATACTAGATGGGACATCACACGGTATGGAATACACCGCTGGCCACTTTGGGTCAGGTGCCCTGGCTGTGTCCTGTGCCAAGTTCTTGTGCCCCTCCAGCTTTCTCGCTAGCTGGGCATGAGAAGCTGAAAAATCCTTGACTTTAGTCTAAACATTACTTAGCAACAACTGAAAACATCAGTGTTATCAACATTCTTCTCATACTGAACTCAAAACATAGCACCGTACCAGCTACTAGGAAGACAGTTAATTCTATCCCAGCTGAAACCAGGACATAACTTCATGAAACAATGAAGTTAGAAGTGTATCTGCTAGAGACTGAAAAAGTACCTGACAAGTTTAAACTTATGTTTGCCCTGTTCTTTTTCTTTTCCCACTGGAGACAGGATACCACACTAGACAGACCTTTTCTGACCCATAAGGGCTCTTCTTGTATTTCTATCTGGTCTAGAGGCAGATGGACCTAATTTAATGAAGGGTTAAAAATCACAAACATTCAGAAAATAAATAACTTCATAATCTTACTAATGTAAAAATATCAGATGCACATTATTACAACTGTCAAATGCTTCTATGCCTTTTTACCCTGAGCACCAAGTTACATAGCATGTTAACGAAAGAACTATCTGCTGAAGTATTTTTCTGGCAGATTATCAAACCCAGTTTACTTCCCTCCACACTCTTCAACTATCCCCCTTTAAAAACAAAAGTTTGGGGGATTTTTTTGTTGCTCTTGTTGCTTTGTGGTGTTTTTTGTGTGTGGGGGGGGTGGGGTGGGGGGGTTGTTTGTTTTTTTTGTTTGTTTGGTTGTTTTTTTTATTTTCTCCTGTAAAATGTATCCCGCCTTTCACACTACAGCTGCCATTTCTCCACTGAAGAGAAATACAAGAAACACTTCTTAATTAACATGTGCATTAACTAGCCCACACATTGGAATTTTTTCTCCTAATACCAGATACCTAACACTTAACTACACTTTAAGAACACTTATTCCTATTGTTTAAATACTTAATCCCTGAAACTGATGCATTTCGGTATTAAAGGTAGCAAAGAAGGCTTGTTTTAGTTTTCAAGGAACTAGCTTTTCAGGTTTTTTTGCATTTATCATGACTGACATCTCATTTAAAAGCACTGCTTTAAAAACAAAAGCACCTAATCTATTTGTTTCATGCATTAAAAAAAGATTCCTATTCTTTCCTCAATTTCTGTTTCACAGTGGAAGTTTCTTCAGAAACATGTATAATTACCACTCTATGTAATACTACCAGAGTGAGAGAGATGGCAAGTTGCTGGAGAGCAGCACATGTCTTCTCATTTTTCACATACTTACTGAGACACTGTGTCCACAACTTTATCATCTTTTTCTGCAGCTTCTTCACTGGTAGCATCAGACTTACTACTTTGGTCAGTATTCTGAATAGAAATAGAACATTAAGACATTAACTCTCTTACATTTATAATGTACAGCATTACCTAACAGACCAGGTAACTGGTCCACAACTGGATACAAAACGGATTGCTTATGACAGACACAGACAATTACATTTCACATAGTCAGAAAGGTGCAGTAAAATCTAGATCAAACAATTAAAGCTATATTCACTGCAGGACATGAAAGATTATTTGCATATACTGTTTGTGTGAAAAGCTCCCAGCTTAGCTGAGGCCTCTAAGCAGTATCACACTGTCACTGCAGGTTAAGTAAGTAGCTGATTCCTGGTCATACTCAGGGGAAGAAAAGAAAAAACGAAAAAGACAACGTTGCTGTTGTACCCAGCAGCTTTTTAGCCAACACATTATCTCCAGTTACCTTACGCTATTAGATACCTTTTCAGTTTCCCCCTTAGGTTGTGGACGGGACATTTTATCATTTCCTGCATCTTTTTCAGGCTCTTCTTTCCTTCCAGACGCTCTTGTAAGATTAGGCTTAAATCTTTGTCGACATCCTCTAACTCTTGCCTTTGCAATTACAGTTTTTTCAGGTACTCTGCACAAAAGGATCCACAACAGTGACATTTACTCTATAATATTCAAGCCCATGTAATATTGAATGACTTGCACAGCTTTCTCTACTGGAATTGGGTTGTCTTCAGAAGGATTTGCACAAACTCATGCAAGTTTCTTCACATGAGAACCAAACTTTGTTTAGTCTTACAGAGTGTGAAAACTCAATTTATCTACCTACTAAAAAGATACAAAGTTATCACACAGGGAAAGAACCTAACTAGACTACATATCATAGCAGCTTCTGCAAGTGTCAGAAGCAGAGCCATGAGCTGACAACTGAGGGTGGAAGAAAGGCAAAGCTATAGTTATCACTTCCCCTGCTCCCCCTCCCAAATTCCAAGCAGAGTTGGTACTTCTTAAAGTAATGTATTCCTCAACTTCCCAGAAAAGAAGCACACACCTTCTATCATAGTACCACTTGGTATCATCCAAGAAAATGCCAGTAAAATTTACGATTTATATGAAAACTTCACCATTACTGTTGTCTTTTTATAAGAGCACTATATAGAATAAATTAACAATTATAGTCAGTTGATTCCAGGAGACTGGAAAAGCAATCGCAATACCTACTCAGATTTACTATCCAAATCAGTGTTCTCTACTTCTGTGGCTTCATTTCTGTTTCTTCTACCGTCTTCCGCAGAGCACTGGAATTGAGGCAAGGAATGTTACTTTTGGCCAAGTGTGCAGATACCTCAGAAGCAGTTCTCAGAATACTATGTATCAGATTGTAGCTGGTCCATGGTATCAGCATTGATCAAAACAGATACAACAAGAGCATAGCATATTAAGCAACATTCTTCCTTCTGACCTTTTTATCTGCATTCACAAGGTTTGGAGAGGAAGTCTCGGCCTCCATTTTCTCTTGGGTTGCTGCTTCTCTCTTTCCAGATGATCTCACTAAATTTGGTTTAGGTCTTTGCAAGTGCCCTCTGTCTAATGGCTTTTCAGTTTTGCTTAAGATATAAAAAAAGGTGTTATTATCAAAGAGAAACTTAGAAGTCTTATGTGGTCCAAGATGTACTTCAAGAGCACCACAGACTGCATGGGTAATGCAGCAAGACAATAAACTGAAAAAATTATATTACAACTTTCTGATATTAGAAGATATGCTACTACTTAATGCAAAGAGTGTCAAATAACCTTAGCCTTACTGGCTTTCAGTGGAATCTACTTTAAAATATTCAAAGGAAGCATTTCTTGCTGTTAAATAGGAATACCTCTTTCTCCTAGGGATTCACAGTTGATGTCAGTGTGAACAGGCTTACTGATTTCAATAGAAACAATAGAAATCTGCTCCAAAGTAGAGCAGATTTGCTTATACACAACATTTTGCATCTGTCTCTCCCGTCCCTCAATCCCCTTTTCAAAGCTATCTCACTCACAGAACTATGAACTGCTGTTTTCAAAACACCTTGTCCTACTGCCAACATTCATACATTACTGAAGAATGGGGTACATACATCAATCTCTGTGTCCTCAACCATTGCGATAATGTGTCCTGGGGATTCACACACTGTTTGACAGAGCCCTGCAGCTTATCAGTAATATTCACATTGGGAACTACTACCTTTTCTTATATTCTTGCTAGGACAGGACAAATAAAGCTTTGACAGTCTTTACTATAAGAGTGAGTTGCCCTTCAATAAAGGAAAGACAGAAGCATGAAAAACAATTTAGCATTAACTAGTATTCCATCCCTAAATCACCTTTAAAAAATTAAACCATGGAATAGGAAGTTGCTGATCACACAAAAATGGAAACTTTAGGGACACACTTGTTTAAACATCACCGCTCAGTTACAGCAGTAAGCGTAAGAACTAGTCACAAAGATTAACTTAATAAAGGAGCACAGGTAAGACAGAGACAGCTTGGAGTATCTTCTAGAGAGGTGTGTCTCAACTTAAGACTCTTGCACTGAGTTCCAAGGAGCAAGTTTCCAAATAGGAAGGTATGAACACCACCTACACATGATGTGTAGAGCTAATAAGCTCTGATGGAGAACTGTTAATTTCAAAGAGTACAGCGAGGCCCTTTTATTAAAAAAAAAAAAAAAAATGCAGATCAACTTTCACAACCAAGGTTCACCCACAAAATGGCAGAACTTCTTCAGAGAAATCTCTCGTTCTTGCTGACTGTAGAGGGGCTAGCTTTTTCCTAAGCTTGGTTAAGCCTTCCTCCTCATTCTCATGCAGCATTTCAAATCTTAGTCAAAGCATTGCTCCTCTGTGATCAAAGTTTCTGTAAAAAAACTTCATTGAATATGGAAAAAAAGTTATCATGATCTACCGTCTAAGTCCAACCTACTACGGTCAATCAGAATTATATTCAAACTAAGTAAATGCAGGTTAAGACCAAGTACCACCGCAAGGTAAAAGAATTACACTTACATGATTTCAGACTGAGAATCACTTTCTGATGCATTCTGCTTTTCATCCGGTCTATGTAAGTCATGTATGTCTTTGCTCTGAGTAAGGGGAAAAAAAACAAAGTTGTAGTGAAGAAACGATAAATGTAGAACTCTCTGCTGTAAGGTGAAGAAAAGCAGAAACAAGAACAAGATTCACAGAATGGTTGAGGTAGGAAAGGACCTCTGCAGGTCATCTGGTCCAACCTCCCTGCTCAAGCAGGGCCACCTAGAGCTGGTTGCCCAATACCATGTCAGATGGCTTTTGAATATTGCCAAGGATGGAGACTCCACAGTCTCTGGGTAACCTGTGCCAGTGCTCCATCACCCTCACAGTGGAAAAAGTGTTTCCTGATGTTCAGAGGGAACCTCCTGTGTTTCTTTTTGTGCCTATCACCTCTTGTCCTGTCACTAGGCACCACTGGAAAGAGCCTGGCTCTGTCCTCTTTGGACCTTTCCTTTAGGTTTTCATATAGATACTGACAAGATCCCCCTGAGCTTTCTCTTTCTCCAGGTTGAACTGTCTCTGCTCTTTCAGCCTTTCATCAGAGGAGAAATGTTTCAGTCCCTTCACCATCTTTATAGCCCTTTGATAGGGTATCTCCAGTATGTCCATATGTCTTACACCAGGGAGCCCAGAACCGGTCACAGTACTTCAGGTGTGGACTCACCAGCGCTGAATAGGGGGGAAGGATCACCTCCCTCAACCTGCTGGCAACACTTCTCCTAATGCAGCCCTAAATACCATTAACCTTTTTTGCAGCCAGGGCACGTTACTCGCTCATGTTCAACTTGGTGCCCACCAGGACACCCACATTCTTTTCTGCAAAGCTGCTTTCCATCTGGGTGCCCCCAGCACATACTGGGGTTGCTCCTCTCCAGGTGCAGGACTTTGCACTTCCCTTGTTGAAGTTCATGAGGTTCCTGTCAGCCCATTTGCCTTTTAATTGGATGAGGCTGATAACAGACTCCTTAGGAAGCATCAGCTACCATTACTTTCCAGGTCTAGTATTTAATTCATTTTCCTAGAAAGCACTAACCATCACTCTGAAAATGAAAAAAAAATAATTCTGACAACATAGCAAACTAATCACAATTACAGGGAAATTTTTATGGAATCTGTTTAGTGAATTAAGGTAAAACTAGTTTTAGGTCAGTGATTATGTTCATATACTTTTAAAGTTAATTAACCACAGCAAGGCAAGAGAATCAGAACTGACATAAAAGGTCTTTTGAAATTATCAGTTTTAGAGATTATTATGCCTTTTTCTCATGTCAAACAGCTATAATTAATCAGCCAGAGAGCTTTGCTACTCGGGCTACTGACACCACTATAGGCTGGTGTATATAGCACACTGCCCCGTTCACTTCATTGATTTTTATAAATATTATTTCCAACTAATATCAGGAGATTGTATTGTTGTAACATTTCCAACTACAGGCATTTAGTATTTGTGAAGATCCTAAGCAGCTGATTTTCTGTTAAGATGAAGACATTATTTTAGGTAACAGAATCCAAAGTAAAAGCCAAATGACAAATAATTTGCCTGTCACATTAGGGAAACACTAACACTTAGAATTTCCTAATCTCTCACCACAAACTTTAGCCGTAAGATCATTTTTCGTCTTAGAAAGCACAAGAGAAAGTAATTAATTCCCCCTCAGCACAAGTCTTTAAACAGTATGATATTAAGTTCCGAAAATGACAATGATGCAAGGACAGAAGGATGATCAGAGGAAGGGAACTTTCTCTATATGAGGAGAAATGTAAGATTAGGACCCCTCATCTTAAAAACAGTATTATTGGAGAGAGAAAAAAGTGGCATTATAAACAAGAATAGCTTGGAGAAGATGAACAGGAACATAACAATAGAAGTACAGTGCATCTTAAACTACCAGGCATCAGGTTTAAAACAATCCAAAAAATACAGTCCTACTCAAATCAGTTTCCAACATCGAGCTGGCACAGCAAATGAGATGATACATAACACAACTCCAGGAACAAGCGCCACAACTCTAAGAGCCAATAAATCAACACTGTGCATGAAAGACTGAAAGACTTAATGTCTCAAATATTGAGATGGGGCAAGTTCTGGATAAGGATGAACCCTGCATAGCAACAAACCGCAGGTAAGAAGTTGGTTAGCAACAGGGGACAGAGGGTGTGCTGTTCTCTGTTCTGATACACAGAGCGGGGCAGCTCACCATGTATGGCCAGAGGTCAAAGAACAGTCATGCCTGCAGGGAGGGAGAAATTACTCCCCAAATGATCCCCAAAGCCCACTGACCCATTTCTCAAAGGTTCTGGAAGCACAAACCGCGCATGACAGCTAATTAGCCTAATAAGTTCAAGTGCCTGTCCAAAGGAGGGGCAAGGAGATAATAAAAGGGCACGAACTGAAGCCCCATGTGTGCGCGCCCTCCGGAACTGGACCTCTAGGCTGGCTAGACCAATGCTGGACCCAGGACTGGTGAAATCCTTCTTTTCTTCTTTCTGTCTGTCTCTCTCCTCCCTGCCCCCCCCCGCCTCTTTTTTCCATAATCCCTACACCTCACCCCTTTAGACATAAACCATTGACCCAGTCTGGGACTAAGAGCAGATTCAGCCACCCCTGGGCTCCTCTCTGAGAAGGAGTCTAGAAAGCAAGGGAGTCCGCTCTGAACCTCGTGCCTCAATGGGAGAGACCTCCTTCTTCCCTGAATTGATGTACATGGTTACCACGGGTTACACAGTTTACTGAGGTAGTTCCACTCCAATTCCTGTTGTGAGAAACCCCGCCACCTACTGTTACACCTTCCAAGTTCAGTTTGCTTCTGCCACGAATAAAACCTTCAACCGATCTTTTGGTGTCATTTCACCTTAATTTAGCCCGAGGGAATTCTGAACTCCTCACAACCCTTCCCTGGTCTGTCCAGCATGGGTCATAACATTGTGACCAGCGACTATTAAACTAATGAATGCTTGTAACAAATTTGTTTTAACATGCCCTGGTCAGATCTGTCATTACTTCAACCCTTCATGCCCCACATTGGGCGCCAAAATGGACTGTCATGGTTTAACCCCAGGCAGTGACTAAGCACCACACAGCTGCTCACTCACTCCCCGCCTGCCACCCAGTGGGATGGGGGAAGAGAATCAGGTAAAAAAAAAAAAAAAAAAAAAAGAAAGGTAAAATTTGTGGGCTGAGATAAAGACAGTTTAATAGGACAGAAAAGAAGAAACTAATAATGATAATAATAATAATAATAAAATGACAATAACAATAATAAAAGAACTGGAATATACAAAATAAGTGATGCACAATGTAATTGCTCACCACTCACTGACTGATGCCCAGCTACTTCCCAAGCAGCAATCCCCTCCAGGCCAACTCCCCCAGTTTATATACTAGATGGGACGTCACATGGTATGGAATACCCCTTTGGCCAGTTTGGGTCCGCTGTCCTGGCTGTGTCCACTCCCAGCTTCTTGTGCCCTGCCAGCCTTCTTGCTGGCTGTTCATGAGAAGCTGAAAAATCCTTGACTTAGTACAAACACTACTTAGCAACAACTGAAAACATCGTGTGTTATCAACTTTCTTCTCATACTGAATGCAAAACATAGCACTGTACCAGCTACTAGAAAGAAAATTAACTCTATCCCAGCTGAAACCAGGACACACATAAAAAATAAAAATACCTTTGTTTCTCTAGTTTCTTCAGATTGTCTTTCTTTGCCTCTAATCTCTGAAACCGGTAAATCTGAAATCTGGCTTTCCTGTGATGTATCATCTCTAATATCTAGGGCTCTCAGTTTAGCAGATTCCGTTTCTAGTATAATATCATTGCTATCTTCGAAGCTGAAATCAACAAAAGCACATAAAAACATTGTATTAGTGTATTTTAATAAAAAAGCTATTATTGTTTACAGATAGATCAAGTACCACAGAAAAATTATGCAATTTTGCAATTAAATAACTACATGTGTTTCACAGAATCTAACAAATTTTAGTGATATTTGCAGGATACAAGCTTTAAAACAATGTTTGTACTTTTGCAATGCTATTACAAGATGTTAAAATCCCATCTGAATATTCTAGACTAGATAGTTTTTTAGAAACAGACTTTAATAAAGTAAACACTGCATGCACAAGCTTCCGCCCCCCCCCAATCTTCCATAATAATCTATGTTGAGTTCAAAGACAAATACTGTTCCTTCATATGCTTCCAGTGAGGTATTAAGGCACACAAAAGTTGCTGGGAATCTGTATGAAATAACAAACTAGTACAATACAACTAAATACAACAATTAACATGCAAAATTCTGAAGTAGCACTAACAGCTTCGTAACAATTTTTTAAATTTACCACTTTTTTATATAACAAGTTTAACACACTAAAGCAATTCACTTTCTTTCTAGTAAAAGAATGCCCAAAAGCTTGCCTCCTACCCAGGTTCTGCATAAATAAAAGTCCAAGCAGCATTCCTTTCCCACAAGAACCATCTTACTAAAAACAGATATAAATTCCAAGTGTATAGCAACACTACTTAGCAACATTACCAAGCAGTGCTTTGACAGAAATATTAGGAGTTAGGATAAGCCAATAGTCTCCAGGAATACTCAAAAAAAAAAAAAAAAAAAAAA